TTTGGTTTTTTTTAATGTCTATGTTAGAGCCCCATGCAGGTGGGACGGGGTGACTGGAAGGTTCCCTTTTATTATATTTACAGCTCCCAGTGGTTCCTGCTGGGCAGAGCCAGGGTTTGAGAACCAGCGGTTTAGAGTCACGTTATATAATAGTCTGGCACTTGTACGGTGGCAGTTTTGTCCGTGTTTCCAGCACTCAAAAGTTCAGAAATATTGAAGTCATTGAAGTCCACTCCCAGAATATCCAGCTACACAATAAAGACATGTTTTTAATAAAAGAAAAGGACATTTCTCTGTCTGGTTTTAATATTCTCCTTTTATTGGACAGGAAGCAGTAAAATGGCAGGCCATTTAGTTTATGCCCAACCATCTAGCATCAGTCGCACAAGTCACATTTTAGGAGCCAGCCCCACGATGGACAGCGAGCTCCCCTCGCTGCAGAAAGTTCTATTGGGAACTGCTGGTCTAGACTTCCCATAACTACACACGTGGCCATTTTATGACTGGTGTTTTAATTATTGGTGCAATTGGTGAATTTACGGATTGGGTGAAGAAAGCTGGTGAAGCATATTAACAGTGGCCAGGGAGAGGGGAGGGAGGCGGAGGGATGGGCAAAGGGAAAGAAGAGAGTTTTAATGGTAACTGATGAAGAGTGTCAAGCGCTTCAGATTTGCAGATTGATAAGACCAGGGAGAAAGTGGATTTGGCAGTCTGAGCCCTCGAGAGCAGTGTGGCTGACACCCAGTTCCGATGGGCGAGGAGGCACAGCAGTGTCACTGAGGAGCAAGCTCACGGCCCGATGTGCACAGAAGCCAATACTTGGCCAATACTTGTCTTCGCAAAAAGAGAAAAAGCTTTATTGCAAGATCAACCAGCAAGGAGACCAGGAGGAAGGCTCAAGTGTGCCTCCCTGGTTTGGGGTCTGGGATAAGGTTTCTTTTCTTTTCTTTTTTTGAGACAGATTCTCACTTTGTTGCCCAGGCTAGAGTGAGTGCCGTGGCATCAGCCTAGCTCACAGCAACCTCAAACTCCTGGGCTCAAGCGATCCTCCTGCCTCAGCCTCCCCAATAGCTGGGACTACAAGCATGCACCACCATGCCCGGCTCATTTTTTCTATATATTTTTAGTTGGCCAATTAATTTATTTCTATTTTTTTAGTAGAGACGGGGGTCTTGCTCTTGCTCAGGCTGGTTTCGAACTCCTGACCTTGAGCGATCCGCCCACCTCGGCCTGGTGTGAGCCACCACACCCGGCCCTGGGGAAAGTTTTAAGGGGTTGGAGAGCAAGGGGAAAAGAATTAGAGATGCTGGCTTGCCAGGGTCTGATCAGACAGCTCTGAATCGGTCCGTGTACGGCATGCCAAGTGGTGGCCACCAGGTCTCCTCGTGGTGGGCACTCGCCCTTTGGAATAGGCTCTGGCGGTGCAGTTCTGGTTATGTGTTGGCTTCTTGGTTCCATGGAGAGGGAACATCGGTTCCCAGTGCTAGTTGAGGTCAAAGTCTCTCTCCTCTGCGCATGCGCGGGCTATCCAACTTGCAATTTGAGCCCTACTGCATCTATCTGCAAAGCAACTTAGGACACATTAGGCAACAGGGTAGAACCGTTGGAGCTGGTCCTGTGGTCGCAGGAGGAGGGGAGAGGGTGGCAGTCAGCACTTGGCCGTGACTTCTGCAGGATTTCCGCTGTAGATGACAGAGCAGAGCCAAGGCGGCCACCAGCGAGCGAGGATCAAGGGCGGTGGATGTCTGTTCTTGCGCTTGTGGTTTGCATGTTTCTTTCTGGCTTTTTTCCCTGGGATGAGGAGATCGGAGTGTGGCCAGAGGGATAAGAACAGGGATCCCCAGAGAGGAGAAAGTTTGTGATAAAAGGGGAATATTGGGGGAGCCCGGTTTGGTGGAAAGCAATATGAACTCATAACAGGGACAGGTCGTCCAAGCGACACTGGGTATGGTCAGCAGGGACGTGTCATCCTTTGGCATGGGGGCAGGAAAGAAGGAAGGGCAGGACCAGACAGTGAGAGTAGGCAAGGGAGTTTGTTTCTGATGGACCATATTTTCTCAGTAAATGCGGATGAACAGCTAACGGCTGAGTGTGAAAGGCAAGGAGGTGGCTTGGGAATGAGGAACACGAGAAAGAGCTGGAAAAGTTGTAAATGGAAAAGAAGTCAGAGTTCTAGATAAAGATTGACAAGAAAATTATATGGAATCCCACCTAATGTGCTCTTATTCTGGTATGCATTGTACCTTTCTGATGCACGTTAATAATAATAATTATAAGTAACGTCTACATGTTGAATATTTGTGGGGTGTCAGGCACCATGCTAGGTATTTAATTGCATGGTTCCATTCAATCCTCCTAATAGCCTTCGGGGCAGGAGCGATTATTATGCCCATTTTACAGATGAGTAAGTACAGGGAGAAACAAAGGCAGAGTTGGATCCCAGCTTGATCACCTGTAGAGGTGTGTACCTTGGGCAATTTATGTGACCTCTTGAGGTCTCAGATTCATCTCGGAGAATAGGGATTGAGGTCCCAATTTCATAAAATTGTTAGGAATATTCAGCGAGATATAATATGTGTGAAAGAGCCTAATACACGCTGGGTGTTTGATTTTTTTTTTTTTTTAAACCATCCTAGACTATGAATTGGTTGCTGAGCTGACAATTGGATTCAAAGTCATTGTGACTTGAGTTTGTAGTCTGTCTTCCCAAAGGAAGACGTGGCCTAACAGCACAGAGGTGAGGATCCTGTTAGCCCCTGCTGCCAGGCAGGTATCATAGAGGTGTGATGCAGACTGGTGCTAAAAAAATAATAACAATTAAAAAAAAATCAGAAGCAGTAGCAATAGAGGCAGTGGGCTGAGCTGGAGCACACCAAAGGTGTCATGTGCAGACAGTGTCAAAAGCTCATCCCCACTCGAGTTGTGGTCCACAGCCTGCTGGCTTCATTTCTGGGGACTGTAATTTAAAGATTCTATATTCGAACGACGTAATGTTTATTATGTGACTTTCAAAGTCCCTTGGCTTCCTGGTGCCACAAGGGGAAACTGAACACTGGCCTGCAACTCAGAGAGTGCTCAGACAGGCTGGCTACCAAGTGTCATGAAAAAATTCCTACTAGTGCAGTTCACAGGTGGCAAGGGCTATGGCGTGGCTACGATGCAGCAGATAACAGGGACGCTGAGTGTCCCCCGTGGCAACAGATCTCCGTGTGCTCTGAGGACGCTGATTGACGTCACTGCTGGTCCCTTGCCAGGAGCGAGGCAGAACCCCCTGCAGGGGTGCCGAGAGCTGGAAACCCCGGGCAGAGGCAGGGCCAGGCCGCCTCCAAGCAGAGCAGGCTTGACCTCAAGTCCCCCGAGTGCCCTAGCCACGCACAGGCATTTCCCCCAAAAGATCCCAATCGCTTTTCCAGGCCAAAGCTGGAAATCCTGAAATCTCCCTGACCCCAAAGAAATACTCATTGCTCCGTTGTTGGGGTTGAAATCGCTGCTCGTATTTATTAGAAAAGCAGAACAAACGCATCCATCCAAGCACGGGCTGTAAATCAGCCAGCCTAAGGCTCTCCATTCGCTGGGGTGGGAGCGAAACTGCTTTAATGAAATGTCCCCAGGAGAAGCGTAAACTAGAAGACGCACCTTCTACTGCACCATACTATGAGGAACACAGCTAGCAAAGTAGTGGCAGAAGCCGGGCAGCGTGAGTGCCCCTGGGCATAAGTCCCCGTGTTGAGCAGGCCAGAGTATAGACGTCTTCCCCTGGGGCAGCAGACAGCCACCGGGACACAGCGACACAAGACTCACCCCCAGACTGGCGGCCACACCTGGCTTCCCTAAAGGAGGAAGAGTGGAGATCTGATCGCACCTGTCACTTGCAGTGGAGAAGACAGCAGTCAGGCCTTGCAGTGTTGGGGGGGCTGGGGGAGACCCCAGCGAGGGGCCAGCAGCCCCTCTTTGTGGAACAGCAGGGAAGGAACGTGTTGGCCTGGAGGACCACTGTGAGAAGATAACCAAGAGACCACTCGGCTGGCTTCTTACTGTCACCACTGGGACTCAATCACATGTGCCCAAGTGACAAGTACAGTGAATAACCCTCCCTGGACTCATGCTGTGTTACAGGGTTTCTTTCCGAAGGCGGCAGAGTGCTCTGATCATGTAGGAACCAACGTAACAAGTGCACTGATGTGCAAATGTTCCCATTGGCATATAGACCAGCCTCGTGTGTGTGTGTGTGTGTGTGTGTATTTTGGGGGAAATGTTTGCATAAAGCAGCAGAAATTGGGATGCCTGGAACAAGCCCTATAGGAGCCTGGATGGGAAGGAGGTCAGGTCACCTGATCCCAATAGGTAGGGACATGTCGTTGCAGAAGTTGTTCTTGGAGTACTGGGGCAGCTCACCTCGAAATGGGACATTAGAAGCAATCACTGAGCAAACAAGAAGTTAGAATGTAGCAGTAGCTGAGATATTGCTCAGGTTCTCCCAGTTTAGGGACACCCAGATGAAACATGGCTGGTCCATAAAGGCAATGGCCCTCTATGTTAAGGAGGCCCACCGGTGTCAGCTTTAACTCTGGCAGCCGGTGTGGAAAATGAGGTGCAATTCATCTTGTCTAGTCACCTGCTGTCCTGCTCCAGGCTCCATTCCCTCACCTGTGATCAGCTTGTTAGGTCGTCACCTGCCTCAGCTGGGAAGGAAATGCTGGCAGGTGACACCCTGCACGTGTTTACAGGCATCCTCCTTCCAAAGATGTGGACAAAAATGCACCAGAAGGTTCTAGAACCTGGGAGCTGAGAACGACACTGGCTGTCTTCTGAAATAAAGCCTGAGCCCTTTGATGTTTTTGCGCCTGGAGATTCTAAGATGTTCTATTCCCGATCAGGGAAGTTTCCAGGCTGCTCCTGCCGCCGAGGCTGGACCGCAGGTGTCCCCGGGACGGCGGGGTGTCTGGGGCCAGGCCGGGAGGACAGCGCGTGGGGTCGGACGCCGAGCCAGCAGGGTGAGCGCACAAGGTGGGAGCAAGGCTCGCCATCACATCCGCTCAGACTCGACCAAATGCACGATCAAAAGTGTCCCCTGCAAAGTTTGGGGCGGGTGCACACACGGAGCCCCCCCCACACACACACCCCAGGCCCCGCGCCTGCTACCCGCGCAGGTAGGGGGCGCGCGCGGGCGGGGCCCCCGCGGCGTTGAGGTGCGGCCGCGCGCCCGCCGCCAGCTTCTCGCCCAGCTTGCGGTTGGCCAGCTCCAGGTGGCGGCCGTGCTTGCGCGCCTGCCGCAGCGACCGCTTCACCTTCTTGACGCGCTCGCGGAGCTGCCGGTTCCGCTTCTCCAGCGCGGCCACCTTCTGCTGCAGCTTCTTCGCGTGGTCCTCCTCCTCCAGCAGGGCCCTCTGCACCGAGGAGCACAGGAGCTGGGGACAGACACGCGCGGGGAGAGGCAGGTGAGCCGCACGCAAGGGCCTGGGTGCATGGGGGTGGGGGGCGGTTGCAGAAGCGTCCCCCCCCCCGCCCCCATCGCCCCCGCCCCACAGTGAGGATGAACCTCGGGGTGTCCTTGACCGTGACCCGCCTCGGCCCTCCACCCTGGGATCCCGCAAACAGAGCCCCTCTTTTGCCTTCCATACTTAGCTTCCTTGGGGGATTTAGTTTTAACAAGATACTCTCAATATTTGTCACACACAGCAAAAAGGAAAGAGCTCCTCCTGTGAATCACTAAAAGACCAAAACCCCAAACAGAAAAATGCACAACGAACATGGATAGTTCATAGGAAATATAAACACCTTTTTTTTTTTTTTTTGAACCAGTCTCACTCTGTTGTCCAGGCTAGAGTGAGTGCCGTGGCGTCAGCCTAGCTCACAGCAACCTCAAACTCCTGGGCTCAAGCGATCCTCCTGCCTCAGCCTCCCAAGTAGCTGGGACTACAGGCATGCGCCACCATGCCCACCTAGTTTTTCTATATATTTTTAGTTGTCCAACTAATTTCTTTCTGTTTTTAGTAGATGAGGTCTGGCTCTTGCTCAGGCTGATCTCAAACTCCTGAGCTCAAACGATCTGCCCGCCTCGGCCTCCCAGAGTGCTAGGATTACAGGCGTGAGCCACCGTGCCCTGCCCATCTCTTAAAACATATTAAGATGCGAGCTCAGCGTTTTTTCATAAGATCAACGGGAACTAAAGCCACAGTGAATTACTATTTGTCACATATTCGATGGGGTAAAATCATGGAAGGGACAGGATTTGGGGAAGGCACTGGTGTAAACTCTACATAGCGTGGAAACCTCTATGAAGACCAGTTTGGTTCTATCAAAATGAAAACTGCATACACCTTTTATTCTCATAATTCTGAGCCCTTCTCATAAACACTCTCATGGACCAAGTGCCATTGCAGTGTGTGTACACACATATTACAGCATTATTTGTTACATTAAAAGATTGGAAACAATCTAAAAATACCCATCAAGAGAGGTCTGCTTAAATAAGTTATAGTAAATGCATACAATAGAAAGGTTTTCCGTCTTTAAAAGGACAGGGCAGCCCCATGTGAATGGCATTATGGAGATATTAAGTGGTGGTCGTATTTCAGGCAAGTGCATTATATTGTGTGATAGCCAAGACAGTGAAATATAGTCTCTGTATGTATCTATGTTTAAATAGAAATTGGTAAGGATAGCTGTATCCAGGCAGCAGGGGAGATAGAAAAAAATTTATTTTATCATGTGCACTTTTCGAATTTTATGTTATATGCTGGTATCACCTTGATAGATGTGTGTCTGTATATAGAGAGGTCTTCTCATCTCTAGACTTTCTTCTCCATCCATTCTGCACCATCAAGAGCTAAGCTCCCAAAGAGAGGCTTGAGCCTCGACTTTTCCTCCGCTTAGAAATATCCAGTGCACGCCACTATCTGCGCTGCGATATGGTGATGATGGGGTTAAATGTCCGGACTCTGAGGCCAGGCTGCCTGGGGTTCAAGTCCTGCCTCTTTCTTGGGCAAGTGATGTGACCTCCAGCAGGCTTCTTAAGCTCAGGGTAGCGGACTCTTTGCGACACTAGCCAGCCCCCCACTTTGGGACTTCGAGGTCTGTCCCCCCCACCTTCCCCGCTTGGGGTGCTGCAGGCCGACAGCCCTCAGCTGGGGATCTCCCCAGAAACTTCCACTTGAGATCACACCTGCTGTTTAGGGGCACCTGTGTCCCATGACTGGGTGACACAGGGTTTGACAGCCCTCACCCCAACCGGGAAGATTCTGAAGGAGCATCCCAGGCTCAGAGGGTCTGTCCCCGGGTGGGCTACGGCCTGGGTGGAGACAGTATTGCAGGCCACCTCCTACCTCTGCACCATCCTGCCTCCCATCCACTCCCAGGTGTAGTCTGTAAACTCCCTGAAAACCACTGTCACCTGAGTCTACCTGGTGTAGACCCTGCCTGGCAACAGGCAGTCCGCTCATGCGTACTATGGGATAATTACGGGGGGGGGGGAGCGCGGGGGGGTTCATGAGTTTTACTTGAAAAGTGCTTAGACCCGTGCCCCGGTGCATAGTAAACGTTCCCTGTTAGTCATTTTAGGATAGAGTCAAATCTTCTAAAACTCTTAACCTCTGTGATGGTGCCTGGCCTCGATCTCTGGTCTTACTGTTAATTCTTGTGTTTGCACACCTTTTACCCAAAGCAAACACGCCTGGTCCTTCATCTGACACATCTGTGCTTGCTCAGCTTCCTTCTGCCTGGAGGGCTGTTCTCCCCCAGCTCTGTCTGGAGGTCTTAGAAGCCGTCTGCAAGTCCCCTTCCACGTGGCTTTCCACAGGGTCTCCCTCTGTCCCTAGCATGTCCCCTCCCCAGTCTGTGTCTCACCCTGAGGCTGTTCAGACCCCACTCACTGGCCAAGTACCCCAGGGAGAATACATCTCAACACCCTTGGCAGATTGCAAGCTCCTTAAGGTCTAGTTTGCGTCGGTTTTTGTATCCTTGTTGCCCTGGCCATTTTAGGCATGCAGTGTTAAAAAAAAAAAACAAAACAAAACTGGAGTCAAGTGAAATGTTCCAATAATACTTGTCCTTTAATAAGTAGCTTTGGGCCGCTGGGGAGGCCAAAGTTAGACTAGGGGAGACCATGCGTGCAACACTGCCCTCTTCTGGCCAAAATGAGACCCCTCAATTTGAGAAGGTGGGCGCAGGAAACCCCTGGGAGAACTCATGGTGTCAATATTTCCATTGCATGTGGACGGATATTCGCTATATAACTTACTGAGGGTGTAATATAGCCGAGCACTCGATCAACCACTTTCTATCCACCCTCTGATTAAGTCATGGGCTTTCTATAAGTTATGGTAGGTTCTTCAACCAAGAACAGGATACAAGAGTGCGAGCAAAGTCCATTGAAACAGGAGGATTTCTGTTTGGGTTTCTGCATGGCTGCTTGTTCAGATTTTGAAAGGGAAGACTCCAGCAGTGTGCTGGAACACATCAAAGAGGAGTTGTACACATGCTTTGCAACATCCTTCAATAGCTGCATTTTAAAATATAAAATAATGGCATGGTGGGACATAAGCAATCAACTGTTAACAGAGCTCTTTCTAAGACAACAGTACTTCCTAGCCGGCCCTCTGACGATGGGGCTAGAGCCATAGGATGAACTTGACCTCCAGCAAGACGAATAGCCCAACCAAGAGGAATAATTTGATGATGCCCTGAAGAAACCAAGATGGGATAGAGGGATGTCAAGCATGTCTCTCTGTGTGTGTATATGTCTGTCTGTCTGCAAGAGGAGGTGTCATTAAGATGGAAATGGTACCTTCTAAATCAAGGCTGAGTGTGGAAGGAAGGGAGGGATGGGTGGAGTTTCTCAGTGAATATGGCATTCTCTGCTCTTCACTGCCTCTCTTTAATATGGGTATGGTTTGAGAAGGAGCAAAAGGACTTTAGTAACGTGTCCAATGTGACAACAGCACAGCCATGACCCAGGACTCCCTGCCAGATAGAGAAGGTCGTTGTCTCTGCAGCAAAGTGGGCTATGCCTCCATGCAGGGAGGGCCCAGGCCGTGGGAACAAGGCTGACACTATAAAGTAATGGAGCTGCTGCCAATGGGGTCTAAAAAAGGCCTCCTGGACCCTAAGCATCACCTCCAAAAAAAATTGTTTTCCTTCTTAAGAAAGCAAGAACCTCTCGAGGAGAGCTGAGCTTTCAAATCTGTGCATTCCTTTAAGAAACGCCCCCCTTTCTGGAATGCTTTGCAAATGAAATCAATCTCTTAAAAACTACCTTAAAGGAAAAAAAAAAAAAGTCCAGACTTGCTATTTGCTCAGTTAGCTTTGCGGGGTTTTTTAGTTAACAGAGAAGAAGAGGCGAAAGGCCCGGCCAAGCTGAAAACAGGTACAGCTACATTTTTTTTTTTTTTTTTTAAGAAAAACCAATGGGTTTCCCACCAGGGGGGCCCCCTCCACAGGCCCATGTTGCTCCAGTCCCCACGGGCTGGAGGAATCTCTGGCCTGCCAAACGCTTAGGTACCTCTGGCATTTTCCTGCCTCAGAGTTTTCTCTGGAAGTTTCCATGCAGCCAACAGGATGCCTGCCTCACCGCGGTTGGGAAGGTTGCCATAGGAGAGCCTGCTCTTTTATTTTCAAAAAAGACAAAAGTTAGACTGGGATATCCATTCTTCCTTGCCTTTTAAAAACACCATTTTTTTAAAACTATAAAAGCAACGCACGCTGATTGTAGAAAAACTTTTTAAAAAAAATTAAAAGGACCTTAAAAAAAATGGGGGGGGGGAGGGAAATTGATCTGTGATTCTGTTGCTCAGAAATAGCCACTGTTGACATTTGAATATATTTCTTCCTACTGTTTTCTATGGGTATAGAGATAAATATTTTCAGTGAGATTGGAATCGTGCCGTTATGAGATTTTTCTGTTCTGATTTTTTTTTCCACTTGACATTTGATCACGACCGTTGCCAGACTCTGGTCTGCACACTTCCACATCAGTGGAAACGGAGGGTGGCTGTCCCTCGTCACCATGAACTGCAAGCCTGGGTCACCAGTCGTTAATCCTCCTCTAGCCACAGGGCCCCAGGCCGAGGGGGAAGGATGGCGAGATTGGTGCTTATGTGTCCATGAAGCTGAGTGAGCTCAATGTGGCCTTTCTGGTCACCCGTCTCCAATGACAAGACAAATCTATGCACAGTTCCTCTACCCAAAGTCTTCCCCGAGTGTTCCTGTTTCCCCAGATAGCTCAGGTGCTGTGACAAAGTTTCCCAATCAAGATCTTGAGAGGTGACAGAAATGTATCCATGTCACCGTCTGGAATCACCTCTGCCTTGTCTGAGTCACTTTGGCTTCCAAAAGTTCGTTCATTCTGGAGAGAAGGATTGATTGGTTCTGTGTTTGGCACTGGAAGGTACAGAAAGTTTTCCTGAGTTAC